AAGATTGACGCGCTTGGGAGTTTGGGGATCCAAGAGGAAATAATAGCATAAACTCTTCCCAAGAAGTACAAATAAACAGAATCCATTAGACGATTTCTATCAACTACGAGCTGCAGTTGATTAACTGAGAATGTTGGACCACTAAATACATACCATTGGGAATATTTTGAAAATAGCCTGTGCTATGACGCTATTAATTCAGCATAAAAGGCCGTTAATGCAGCAGTGCACCCCACCGCCTTGCAATATTTAGCACAATGCTTAGACTGAGGGGTGCACCGCTTCTCAAATTCAGTTCTCTCCGTGATTCTGGCCACAAACCAAACTGGACAAGAACTAAATTAAATTTCCGCGTGAGGTCAGCGTGCAGCCCGACCCCCGAATCTGACTTCGGTGGCCTGTACCGCGGCACCTCAGCTCACGAATGCTTCTGTTTGTGCAGCCGTTGCTCCCTAACAGAAGCGTTGGGGAAAATTTTGCTTCTGTTCATGAACTCCACACTGGGAGACGAACACGACTGCGGTGTCTTCCCTACCCAGACATGGATGTGTCCAGAAACCTGAAGTTTCTGTAAATTTAAGATACTTTTTATCTAAAGGAACAATTAAAGAGTGACTCCTATTTTCTGAGCTTTATAACCATCTTTTTAAAGATTATAACACAATAAAACATTTCAAACATATACTTTAAAATACTGTTTGAAAACATTATTTATTCATCCATTTATAATGAAGTAGTGACACCTCATGCAGTCACAAAACAACAAAATTCATGTGTAGAAAATAACATTTGAATTAAAGGAAAAAGTCTCTCCCCTCATGTTATTAGTGAATTTTAACTGAATTATAAAGTTGTTTTGAGCTCTTCTTTATAATTCTGTGTCTTTCACACACAAATGTGAGCCCTCTCATGACACAGATAGGAATGTTGCACTTTCACTAATAAACTTATCTGACTTTTAACAGTAGTTTCCTCTTTTTTTCTCAGGAATGTAAAAAAGACCTTTAAAAATGTTGCCCTCAGAAAAATAATATTTAAATTCTACTATCACAAACTTTGGAAATTTAGGACATGACTTTTAGTTTATTTTTTTAAATTTATACATATGCTCTCCTTGTTGTTCCTACTTGCCCAACTACAGAAATACATGTTCTAGTCCAGTCTCTCGGGATCCTGGAGAAAACTGGTGGAACTATTTCAATTTAAATGAACAACAGACAGCAAGCTGTTCTACATATTGGCTGCCCTAGATAGGCTGATCCCTGGGCTGAGCAGTTTATATAAATCATGTAAATTATCTCTCTAAGTCTTCAGAGTAACCCTCTTCTATAGAAATAATTTTTGCTTTTTTAGTTGTTGAGCAGCTAAACAACTGCCCCAGCTCTCCGAGCTAATCTCTGTCGTGACTCTGAACCGATGCCCCAGCCTCCACTAGAAGCTAGCTTCTCACTCCAAGCAGCTCCACAAGGCCTGCCAGGGACCACGGTGCCCCCACCCGGTCAGGAGGAAGCCACCCCGAGGCTGCTGGGAGGCTGCTGGGGAGGCAAGGAACCAGGTGCGGAGCGGGGCACTACTCCACCACTCTAGAAGGTCAGCAGCCAGCGCACTGGGCTGAGAAGAGCCCTGGTCATTCTGCAGAAAAACAGGAAACAGAGATCCCATTTCCATGGGGAGGACTGAAGTTGGCCCTGAACGGTCCCTGTATTGCACGGAGATCTTGTCACAGAAGGCCAAGCTTCAGAGGAACAGGACAGAAAGCAGTCCTATGTCGAGCTGCGGACTTCATACTTCTCTGTGCAGCTACTGTGGCTTCCATCTGCTGCAGCTTTCTCTCTCTCTCTCTCTCTCTCTCTCTCTCTCTCTCTCTCTCTCTCTCTCTGTATCTCTATATATATCTCTGTCTGTCTCTCTCTCTCTGTATCTCTCTCTGTCTATCTCTCTCTGTCTGTCTCTCTGTCTGTCTCTCTCTCTTTCTCTCTCTATCTCTCTTTCTCTTTGTCTCTCTCTTTCTCTGTCTCTGTCTCTGTATCTCTGTCTCTCTTTCTCTCTTTCTCTCTGTATCTGTCTCTGTCTCTGTCTCTCTCTCTGAAGGCTTAACTTTTTACACGTTCAGTTTGGAAGAATATCCATACTGACCTGTGCATGTTCTTGGAATGTCATCTCCTAATGCTGCAGACCGACTATGCAAGAGAAGCCAGATCCATTTCTGTACCCCAAGTACCTTCTAAGTCAGGCTCAGTGATATATACCTGTAATCCCAAGGTTGAGGAGGCTGAGTCGGGAAGATCCCAAGTTGGAGCTCCACTTGGGCAACTTATTGTGACACTGTCCCAAAATGAGAAGGTCTAGGGATGCAGCTCAGAGGGAGAGCGCATGGGGTTTGATGTGCAGTATTACCAAAAACAAATTTAAATCTTGTCTGATAATTTGAACTTTTGATAATATTTTATGTGAATTAATTTAAGATCTGAAAATGACCAAGAATCTTAACTTTAAAAAAAAAGTTTGCAAATGCACTGACCTGGTGAAGGGTCTTTAGTGAATGGCAAAAACTGTACAAGGAACAACTGTTTCTCTGAAAACCTTTGAAGCTGCTGAGCTCTAGCCATTTCTGTGATCGCTTCTTTGAGCACCTCACCGTGAGTGCCTAATTGAACATTCAGTAGCTGATTGTCCGTAGCTTGGTGCTCATTCATCTGGTTTTATAATTGGGAATTGCTAATTTGAACATCAGAACAACCGCCAAGCTGTCCTGTCCCACTTTGGTAATCCAGTTTATGCCTCACATAAAAATACTGGCTCATAGACACTCATCCCCTGGCTTTCGCTGGGAGTTCCAGCCAGGATTACCAGCATAAAACAAAGGTGTTCCCTGCCTCCTGCTTCCTCAGACGCCGTTCCTTTCCTGGACTCAATTTTGCCCCAACGTTCTGATGATTTAAGACTGCAATGAAAATTCATGTAGCATGTTATTATCTTGCGCAACTTCTTCTTGAAATGCATCCCAAATTCTTCTCCTCTGGGACACCAAAGGCCACACTGCAGGCCCAGGGCTGCTTCTGTCTCTCTGCAGCCCAGGATGGCAGCTAAGCCCATTAGGTTGGGCCCAGACCCTAGCCTTCACACCACACACAACAGGCATCCTCTTGGCTGAGTCCCCAGGAAAGCAGCCATGCGTCTCTCAGCTTAGATGGACAGCTCAGCCTTCCTGCGTCCAAAGCTACACAGTCGGCCTATTTCCAGATGCACCCAGAGGCGCCCTCCTTTAACTTCCTTCCCCCTTGTCCCAAGTGTTTCTTGTCCCACTCATTTGTCTTATGAGCTGTGGCTGAATTCCTTCCTTCTTTATTCTCGCGTTTGAGAATGGAAGGAGAGGAGCAAGAGTGGGGCTCTGGCTTCCGAACTCCGCTCCATTTGTTGTTTTAATTTCACTTACAGTTCTAGTTCTTGTTTCTTTTCTTTCTTCTTGGAGAAAACATTGAATATAACTCTTTCTCCTCCTCCTCTTCATCCTCCTCCTCCTCCTCCTTTTCCTCTCCTCTTCCTCCTTCTCTTTCTTCTTTTTCTCCTCTTTGTCCTCCTACTACTTCTCCTCTTCCTCTTTCTCCTTTGCTTCTCCTCTTCCTCCTCCTTCTTCTAAGATTTGTGGGGGCTAGGGTGTGGTTCAGTGGTACAGTTCTTACTTTGTATGCACAAGGCTGTGAGTTCAATCCCCAGCCCCACCACCACCACCAAGAAATGATACAAGATTTCTTGGAACCATAGGTGATAGCACATACCTATAATCTCAGCACTTGGGAGGCTAAGTCAAGCTGATCGCCATGAGTTTAAGGCCAGCCTGGATTATGTAGCAAGACTCTGTTTCAAACAGTGAAAAAACAAAGCATTTTTACTCCAGGATAATATGTAACCACACAGGCTTTTCAGCTCCTCATCCTTGCCACCTCCGTGCCGCCTGTTTCCTCGTGCTCGGCTGACTGGCATTTCTGGGCCTCTGGACTGCACGGCCACAGAATGGCAGCATCCCTGTCCTAGGAGATGTGACTCCAGGGCACCGAGGACTTGTTCTCATCTCATCAGCTCTCGGCCGACCTCTGGTGCTGTTCCTACTCCCTTGAGTGGATTCTATGTGTTTGCTTCTTTCCATAAGAGTCCACTGTGCTTTCACCTTTCCATCCAGCTTTTGACTCGCAGGGATCACTTGCTCCACACTGAGCATTCTCCCCGAGCACAAGGTCCTTCATCCCATGGAAGGAATCGAGCTTGCAAGGGCGGCCATCTTGAGTACAAGTTCCATGGGGGATGTATTCTGCCTCAAAGAAGCCAAAGGCAGCGAAATGTCCTGAGAACTGCAGAGCTCCTTGCAAGACCCTTGCACAAGGCTGTCTTAAAAGCAATCGGTACAGCATTCCTCTCCTCTTTCCCAGACTTAGAATAAGACTCTGGGCTTCTTAAGTCAAGGCAATCTGTCATTGCAATTAGATGGGAAGAAGAAATGCTGCTTTGGGAGCAGAGCACTGGGGTGCAGATGCTGCCTGTGATGAGACCCAGCTCTGCCTGCGCTTGGTGGAACTGGCATAAGATTTGATCAGGGCAGGTGCACAGGCAGAAAGGACTGGGGGCAGACTCCAGGTGCCAGCGGGAGCACACTTAGAGCGGTCAAGTGCCTCCACTGCAGCACCAGCACAGGGCACACATGCAGCACCGAGTCCACAGGTGTGTGCGAGCTGAGGGCGGGGCTGCCCCTTGGAGATGAGCGGCTGAGGAGCACATCTACCACACGGACTCCCTTTTCCTTTTCTGCATCTGAGCCGCCAAGACACTGTGATGGTTAGAGCTACAAATGGGGCCAGGGTGCAGCTCAGATGTACAGCGGGAGCTTACCTTCAGCAAGGCTGTGTTCAATTCCCAGCACCCAAACAAACAGAACCAAACCCCACAGACACAAAACAAATGGCTTAGCGAATCCCAGAACTGAGAAATTTTGACTCAGACTGTGATTCAATTCAGTCTTGATTTATTCAAGAAGGAAATCATTAGGCCCTTGTGGTTGGCTGATTTTTCTCACCTGAAATGGAAGCTTTCCAAAGAGTATCCTGGGAAAGAAGCATTCTATTGGTATAAATAAGTATATAAATAGTTACTGAACATGCTTGTCTTCTAACCGTGACCGACATGCAAGTCTACTAGCAACAAGTAAGAAGCGTGTGGAGGGCGTCTTAGTACGCACACTCGCGCATGTGCATTGCTCTAGAAGTGGGTGATCTTCTCCAGCGCCATATTGTCACAGCTTTTGTCATCGGGATTGAAACCTGGCATGGGCGCCGGGCTTTCTGTCCTGAGTCCGTTCTGGAGCACAGATTCACCTGTGTGTTTCCAGGCAGTGCTGTCCTCAAGGTCATCCTGAGGAAAACAGGAAGGCTCATGTTATCTAGACAGCCTGGGCACATCCCAAATGGTGAGCAGATCGTTCCCACAAACAAAGGTGGGTGGGAGAAATAAGCTGATTCCAGCCTCTTCCTAGCCAGCCACCTTGATAATCACTACAGATGTTACTTTAATGATAGTAAAGACAAAACAGCAACTATGGAACATCAACATTATCTTGTGTCACATGAAGAAACATACACATCTCACTGGATTCAGCATCCCGCGGCGTAATATTATAGCCCTGGAGGAGGGGATCCCTTCCCAGCAGGAAGCAGCAAACCCTCTGAGGCCATCACAGGGCCCTGCCCGCTGCGCCCAGTAAGCCGTCAACACTGAAGGGCAGCGAAAGCCAGCAGAAATCCAGTAGTGTCCCCACACCCTCACCTGGCCCTGGACAATGAACGGTGGCTCTTTCAATAAGCACAATCGTGCATTCCAAGAAATTCTCACCTGGAATATAAGTCTGTTAACCAGTAAACAATTGAATTCATTACCCTAAAATTCACTTACACAAACAATAGCAGCGCAACCAGAAGCCTTCTCAGCAAAATAAAGTGCTGACCTGTTTAAATAGTGCCCAATCAAAGCTGCAGACTTTTACAGAACAAACTCCCTTGTTCATCAAATCATTGCTAACTGCTTGACTGTCACCTGGGGCCATTTTCATATTTTAAACCACCAAACCACAAGTCTTTCCAGTTCCAGTTGGAGTCCTATACTTAAAGTTCTGCCTGGAATCGTTTGAGTCAAGAACTCTGTAAGTACCTGCATCTAAGTTCCCTGTTCTGAAGCTCAGACAAGATGAGGCTCTGCTCAGCTGCATTAAATTCAGCTTTCTGATGTACACACTTTATTAGGGTGTTTTCTACAGAAGAGAGTGATGCCCAGCTCAGAACAATGGGATGTGATCTGTATGAGTGAGGAGTTATGAGTCCTAGAAGAAAGTCAGATGCTGAATGAGTAAAACTAAGCTTTAACTAAAACGAAACAAAAAAGAAACACAAAAAAGCAACCCCCCAGAAAAAAACCAGTCACTAATCTTGGGAAGATGGCACTGGTATGTCCAACTGTGATCCTGACCCGAAATAGTTCTTTCTCAAGGTCCTGCGGTTGTGAGACGCTACCATAATGCTTCATGTCCCAGCGCAGTTCAGCCAGGATGGCCCCCCGGCTGTTTTCTTTTCCTGCCCCCCTTTCAGAATCCTTCAACTGGAGCCTAGTCCCTTACAAAAGACATAGCCATCCCCCCCCCTACAGATGGCGGCACTGCCTGGCTCCTGGTGGCCATGAGTTTGTAAGAATTTAAGGGCACTGACCCAGAGCCTTGAGCCTGGCCTGCCAGGAACACTCCTCTCAGTGAGCCACAGGCCTGGTCACGTGCAAGGTGCCGCGTCCCTGCCCTGAGCTCTCCCCAGGGCACCTTATTGATGCCCCATAGACTTATAAATGCCAGTGGCTGTGTCACCTGCATCATTTCCCACCAGCTCTCAAGTAAGAAAAAGCTGAAGTTATAGAAATTAAATAACTTATCCCAGAAACTAAGGCCAGGAACTAAGATCACACCCAAGGCAATCTGGCACTAAAGCCCATGGTTTTAGCCGCTGCAGGAGACTATGTCTTTTCTACTTCTTTTTCTCTGAGTTATCCGCATATTTTCCTAGAATGGGCCCTCACAGAAGGTGGAAGGGCTCTGGACATTGAGCACGTGCATGCCCGCAGCTCTGCACAAGCACGTTCATGTACCCAGAAGACAATCAGTTTCAAGCCTCCAGAAGTTACTTCTTTCTGGCCCCATCCACTTGCTGCTTCCCCTCCCACCCCTCGCCCTGCAGCGGGCTGCCAGCGCCCCTGGGCTGGTGCTTATTCCGGAAGCTCACGCAGCTGCCTACCTGCTCGGGCTCCTGGCCGTGCTGCACTCCACACCAGCACAGAGCTCTGTACTTCTTAGACCAAAAGCAAAATAAATTGCAAACTGGTCTAATCAAGAGTGGGTTGATATCCTCACCTCGCTGGAGACCTGTTAAGGGAAGGAGAGACGGATCAGGTGAATGAGGCCACCAGTCTTCCGTTAAGGACTCCAGCACTACGGTCTTGAGATTCCTTTACAGCTTGAGGCCTCGGATGCGACTCACAGTCCACAAATAGAGCTTAGTGAACTGCGTACATGAATGGGAGCTGCGATTTAAAGATCCACAAACTTTTGAGTTAGAATTAAACAGTGAGCATATTTTCTTAAAAATGCTTATTATAGGATTATCTACCAATACCCTTTGAAAGCCAACAGAAGGGACAAGGGGAACTATACTTATTCATTTAAGAGAGCTCTTGGTTTTTATCCAGATCAGATATAGTTAAGACCATCTAACCCAATATTTATAAAATTAGATCATTTTTACCATTTCCTATTCCTTTTACCCCAGCATTGACAAATACAGTGGAGTCTCAGTTCATGGACTTTATTCTTGCTGTGATTTGGATCCCAAACCAAATTCCTCATAATCCAGAATGAATTCAGTGGCTAAGTTCAGGGCTGCTTGACTCAGTTAGCCACCAATTCGGTTTGTGACTAGAATCTTGGAAAGAATTCAGTTTGTGACCCCAGGCACCACCGTTATTTGCTTGTGTTTCCTCCAACACTCTAGATTTTCTTCACACTTCTTTCTCTACCCTTAAAATATACTTCTCCATGGTCTCATTTCTTTAAACAACAAAGTCAAATGAAACCCAGAGCAATATTTTCAGGCTGACAATCTTGCTCCACCCAGAACCTCTGGCAGTTGTGCTGTGAGGGTGACCATTGGGAAGTCCTCATCTCACTCAATGGTGGCTGTAAGTGTGACAGACAGTTGAGTGTAAAGGTTCTTCTGGGGAACAAAGGGATGGAAGCGACACACACTGATGGGGTTCCTCCTCTGTGGAACATGCTGCTGTTCTATGGGTTTTGCCAAATTTCTAATGATGGACAAAAATAAGGTAGATTTTTAAATTCAAAATTGAGGTCGGGGGAGGGGAGTGGGGAGATGGCACAGTAGAATAAGCCCTTGCCTGGCAAGTGTAACAGCCTGAATTCAATCCCTGGTCCCACCCCCCCCTCCAAAAAAAAAAAATTGAGGGTCAAATAATGTATTCCCTAGTATTGTGTCACTTGGCACACATTCAATCAAGTGCAGCTCTACTGCTGTGACAATAATACATATTAACTAGTGGTTTGCAATGCCAGGCACACTTTACATGGATGAATCCCTCCAGTGAGGCAGCTTCCATTGAGGAGGGATGTTGTAAAGATCGTGTAATCAGTACAGCAGGATGGTCACCATCCGCCGCTCGCTGTGTGCAGCAGAGGAGGAGCTGGAAATCCTCAAACTTCCATGCAAGGGTGGCTGAATCAGAAGAATTTCATTCAGAGCCAGAGATTCCCAAGGTTTCAAAGAAAGAAGGCCTTTGTCTCCAAAACGTCCATGAAAGTATCAAACACTCCAATAGATAATGTAGATCATTTGTCTCTGGGGTCAGGACACAGACTTGCTAACAAAGAAGGAGCTGTTTGCTTCATACAGATTTAGATTCTATTTCCTTCTAGAAAAAAATGACTGTGAGATTGTGGATACTCAAACAAAGGTCATGGCTACTGTGCTCAGGAACAAAGAGGTCAAGAGTGAAAATGAAATTGAACTGAGAAGTTGTGTGTTCTCCCCTAATTATAGATTTACAACTCTATCATAAAAGAGTCCTTGGTGAGTGATCATTAAAGAACATGCTGTAGGATTATGGCCATGCTGCCTGACAGAAAAGGTCAAAGGAGACGAGATAACTTCCTGCACACATGTGAGTCTTTCCTGAGGAAGACATTTGGGGTTGGGGGCACAGGTCACCAGCTGCGCTGCGCTTTGCAGGAGGCACCCCTTCCTCAAACAGAAACAGCTGACACACAGTACTGATGCCAAGATCCATGTGCGACCCCTCCGCATCCCCTCCTATCTCCTCTTCTGGGCACCCCAGCAGGTTCCAAGTCCCCAAACCCTGCTCAGAAGTGGAGACAGAGCCTGAAACTGGAGGCCCAGGAAACCAGGTCAGGACTGGTGAGGATTTCACAGGAGAACAGAACATTTCAGAAACCTGACTAAGAAGACAGTGTGTATGAAATCCTATTAGAAAAGAAAAGGGGTGTGTGTGTGTGTGTGTGTGTGTGTGTGTGTGTATTTACTAAGCATGATCAAAATACGTAGTGAATGTTTAAAGCTTTAAATTTTTATTATGGTGAAAGACCCGTGACCGTGAGTCACCCTGAAAGTACTCACTTGCTTCACACGCACTTAGGCCTTCATTCTCGCCACTTTCAGAAGCAGTTCCAGAAGTCTTTTGTGTCATCAAAACTATGTGGGTGCTGCTGCCAGGAACAGCGTGGAAAAATGTCCAGCATGTCATCCCTAGCCCTACGCTTGGCACTGGACACTGCACACTCCTAGCTCTTCCTCAGAGTCAAAATGGCCATGAGCGGGAACCGTCAAGGCAGCCACACCAGCACAGCTATAGATGAAAGAGGACTTCCAGAAGTACCCAGCACAAGTACAAGAAAATAAGAGTCTAAGCAAGACTAAATTAAATACATCACGGGAACAGGCTCATGAGACCCTGCTAACCCCATGAAACAAACATGTAAATATAAGTCTTTAAAAATAGTAACCATGGCCAGGGTGAAATGCTAAAAAGCCACTCGTGACCTGTCTGGAAGGCAGGTTAGCCTAAGGACCTCATTTGGACAGACAGGCAGCAGGAGGTGGGGACATCCGGCGTATTCTCTCCAAAGATTTGGTGCCGTAAGTGAACTCCGGGAGAGTGCTGGTAGAGTGGGGGCTTGGTCTGTGTCATCAAGACCTGAATCATTTGGAGTTGAAGAAAATTCAAGGTTTGATACCAGCACAGATGTCTACACTCAAGGGGGCAAAGAATATTTCAGTCCAAGCCTGGTGTAGGGCTGCTGTGTAGACACAGCAGTGTGTCAGTTCTGACCCAGAGCTGGAAAAGCCACAGCCTGGGAAGCCTCAGCCTTTCTAGGGCTTTCACAGCAGGCACCTGACATGTAGGCTGCCTTCTGGTGCAGATGATCTTGGCCCACAGACCAGCAGGCATGGCCTCTTGCATCAAGGAAGCCTCCCCAGTGGCCTGCACAATCTAGACAAGGCACATCACCTTTCACGCAGTGAAACCAGTTCCACTGAGAAAGATAGGCAGCCATTGCCACAGGGAAAGCTGGGCTTGTAAATTGGGCGCTCTATTCCTTATCACCCCAAGCACCCAACTCAGTGGCCACCTCAGCTCATGAGGGTGGGCCCTGTGCAGCCTGTGGTGCCGGGGATCAAACCCAGGTCCCTGCGCTTGCCTAGGCAGGCACTTAGTCTGCTGAGCTATCTCTCCAGTTATATATCCTCAATTTAAATGAAAGGTCATGCCTAGAATCCCACAGTGGAGTAGCTCCTGTGTAGCTTTTCTGTGCTCAGTCATCAGAAATGCTGCCGTGCAGACTCTGTTGCACAGTGAGACTGACTGTCCGTTACTGGTGGGTTTGCAATGATAGTGTAGACGTAGAAGACCTTAATTATTTATCCTGCTAAAATACCCCAGAAAGGCAGCAAGCGTGGAGAAGCTTTGGCACAAAGAGCACACTGACCCATCCAAGAGTCTGCATAGTACGTGTGGATGGTGACACTGATGAGGAAAAGAGCTCGCAGGAAGCGGCTCACTCACTACAGGGAGCGCAGGGCCCAGTGCTGCTCCCAGGGCAGTGTGGGCAGGGGTTCCGGGGGGTCCCACCGACCCCAGGGCTGGCAGATGGTAAAAGCAAAAGCTGGACTCTTGCTAGAAGCAGGGAAAGCATTCTTGCTACTGAACTCACCTTAATGATTGCTACATTAAATGGGATTTTTGGTGCTCAGGCCTCTAAGGCATATTTCAGAGTGTCTTATCTTCTTTTTAATATATATTATACATGCTAGGAATCAGACATAAATACAGATGATATAGATGATAGATAGATAGATGATAGATAGATAGATGATAGATAGATAGATAGATAGATAGATAGATAGATAGATAATAGAGACAGAGATAATGATCAAAATACACAGTGAATATTTAATTTTAAAAATGTATTACAGTGGAGGACACATTACCATGAATGCCCCTAATCTCCCCTCTCTTTGAACACACTCATTCCTTATTCCATCATTCTCAGCACTTCCTGAAGTGCTCCTTCAGTCCCCATTCATCTTGATCAGAGCCGTAGCTGAGCACCCTCCAAGAGAAGGGCAGGCTCGTTGGGATGCCACAGAATGTCCCCATGTGCTGATTCACTGGACCTGGCACTGTGAAGCTTCTGACTCTTTCCCAAAGTCAAAATGACCATGCAAGGTAAATGTTCTAAGTCCATTCAGGACATCAAGGCTGCCATGACAGTGCAAAGAAAGACACTAAAAAAAGAAGACTGCAGGAACTGCTACAGGAAGTGGCAAGAAAAGTGGGCTAAGTGTTCAAAGTGAGAGGGAGCGTTTAGCTGGAAATGAATGGTAATGCATCTTGATCATAGGAACTTTTTAAAAGAAATTTAAGCATCCACCATTTTTTTTCAATCATACCACCTATTAATGATAAAGGGGAAGCATTTGCATATGAGCTTTGAGAGAGTAGACATTTTTCTGGGAGGAAGACTTCTTTTGGTAGACCTATAATCAAAACACCACCATGGCCACCTGGTCCACATTGCGGTCACTTTCTTCTTTGGTCCAAAAGAAAGAAATGCAGTAACCAACCTGTTATGAAGCTGATGAGTATGCCTGCAAGAATGCAGCTGATGCAGCCCACCGCGCTGAAGTACAGGTAGGACAGGGAGTACCAGGTGTCCGCCAGTTCAGGCCTGTGGAAGACAGCAGCAGGTCTCAGCAGTGCCGCCCTCCAGATGCTCCACTCCACATGACACTGGGCACTGCTCAGCCTTTTTGAGCTTCGCATCACTTAAGAATACTGCGCTTCACATTTTATGGTTAGGTTCTTTTTAAAAAGTAGGTGACAGACTCAACATAATGCCACTCAATACAATTCTATTCAATATAATTCACCCATAAATTACAAATGTGCAATGTATTATTAAGTTATAAACTCTGCAATGAGGACTCCAGCATCCATCCCTTTGCTATTATTCATTCTTCAGATATTTACAAAGCTTATATTTAATGCCAAGAATTGCAACAGACATTCACCTACATAAAGGAGCTAACACTTAAGCCCAACACCAACTTGGTGGTACCTGAGTGGGATAGGAACAAAGGAATCTGAGAGCATTCAGAAAGCCTACAAAGCCAGTCAGAGGTGAGAAATGATGCCCAGTTCTGTGTTAAAGAACTGTTAGCAGGTAATCAGAAAGCCAGGGTAAGGGCTGGCCAAATAGCTCAGTGGATTAAAGTGCCTGCAAGTAGGCACAGGGGACAGAGATCTGATTCCCTGGCTGGTTGTGCCACCTCTGCCCCTGGGGCATGCTGAGATGGCAATTGAGACTGCACATGGTGGCACGTACCTGTAATCCCAGCTCTTGGGAGGCTGTAAACAGGTGGGTCACTACGAGTCCAATCTAATAGTGAGACCCTGAACATCCTGTAGATGCCTTCCAAAAAAGAAAAAAGGAAGAAAGAAAGCCAGGGTAGACAGAAATAGGACTTAGCAGCACAAGGGGATATAAGTGCATGGTGGGGGGACAGAATGGAGGGCTGGGAAGCATAACGGGGTTGGTGTAGTATGAGCATAGGGTTTATGCAGAAGGGAAACTGAGGAAAGTATGCACAAAGTAGCAGGTCTGTGACTCTGTAGCAGGGACCCCTGTTCAGTATTCCATGTTAAGTTCTACTGGACGTCCTACACTTAGGTATAATTTCAATATTCTCTCAGGCTTTCACAGAGAGCAAATTGGCCAAGCAATGGCCGTGACTCATCCACATGGCTGACACTGACAAAGGATCTGCGAACTGTGGTACAGGGTTACAGGATAAATCCTGAGAGTACTTGACTGACCTCGTCAGATACAAAAGTTACATTTCTTGTCATATAGGTCTTTCTTTATCTTGGTCTTAACCATCCAGCAGAAAAGTATAAAAACAAGGTATATAAAGTAAAGCTATATTAATATGCTGAGCTGTGAAAGGCTCAAGTCAACAACTTCTGCAAATAACCCACTACTATTGTGGACTTCTGGACTGTGTTGGATTGTTGTGCTGAATTCATGCACCTATAGTATTTAGATGCCAATGGAATACCCATCTCTGACAGGACTAAACAAAAAAAGCGGACACAAAGGAAGGACCATTTTGTATTTGTATATAGAGAATAGTTAGGATAGATATACAGCTACTTTTGCTTAATTCAATGAGAAGAAAGATTTGTACTAATAGTGTTTGGACAGGATATCCTGCCCGCATCTTATACTGTGGATAACCACTAAGAACATAACAATGTATAATGTATTAATTATTGAAACTGTTCTATTAATCAGTTATGAAACTGTCTCATTGCTATTTTTTTCTCAATAAGATAAGTACATAGGTGCAGACCCCTGTGAAAACAGTGCGAACTAACCTTCCTTGAGTAATGATGTTTGGGCTGTAGTGTCACTAGGTCCAAGGAAAGCAAGACCAAAAGGTAGCTTGCTTAGTTGTACATCTCAGGAAAAGATGTCCCTTTAAAAGCTGATAGATATCGGATGTGAGCACTTTGGTTCAACCTTTAAGATTATGTTCTGGAAGAAGATGCACCTACCATCTACAAAAATGGCCTCTACTGCAAGATGCAGCAAGAATATGAGTGAAATTATGCTAGTGACACCCTCCTCTACCCTCTCGGGCCTAAGGCTGTACCGGCTAGACCTGGGCTCAAAACCAGAAGCTCAGGACCATGAGGCCTCCAAGTAGGGAGGATTCCTCACTGCTCCTAAGCATGAGCCATAGGACTGGGGAAAAGCCAATCCTGACCTCCAGTGAGGAAGAAGGGAGTGGAAGAAACTAAACTGGTTTCATGTTTTCTTCGTTCAGTTTCCCTCATATGAGTGTGGTGGCGTACCACACAGCCTGGAGAAATTTGCTGCATAGTACACACCCAGAAGACTGATTAAAGAGGAAGAGAGAAGCGGAAAGAAGAAAGAGGTAAACAAGAGAGGGAAGAGTGGGGAAGATATAAGAGAAAGCAGTAGTAGAGAAAGGTTAGGCACACACAGGATGTCTACATGACGCCCATGCTGCCATATGCGGACACGGCCTCTGTCTTGCCAGTTGTTTTACACCAGGGCTATGAGAAGTAATGCTATGGAGAAGCTTTAAGAATCAAAGGTTCATTGGTTTAGAATAATTATTTTCAAATCCTGAGACTCTGAAATAGAAGTCTGAGGAATAGACTCTGCATGTCTTACAGAGAAATGTGGGTCCTAATCTGACTTTTAAAAGAGGAACAAATTCGGAAAGGATTAAAAGGCATTCTTTTAAAAGTGAAAGTGTGGTTAGAGATTCAAAGGTAGAGAGTGGGTTTGTCTCAGTCACTCTTCTGTCACTGCTGGGACAAATACTAGACACCCAAAATCTAGGAAGGAGGGCTGGGGAGATAGCTCAGTAGAATAAGTGCTTGCCTGGAAAGCACAGGGTCCTGAGTTCAATCTAAAAAAGATTTGTACTGCAAAAAAGAAAGAAAGAAAGAAAGAAAGAAAGAAAGAAAGAAAGAAAGAAAGAAAGAAAGAAAGAAAGAAAGAAAGAAAAGAAAAGAAAGAAAAAGAAAAAGAAAGAAAGAAAGAAAGAAAACAAAAAGAAAAAAAAATGAAGGATGGAAAGGTTTAGTTAGCTCACACTTCGGGGTGATTTCAGTCTATGCTCAGCTGGTTCCAAGGCAGAGTGATACAGGGCAGAAAGCATCTTTTCATGGTAGTAGCAAAGAGAGCAAGAGAGCAAGGCAGGAGTAGCAGCAACCATAGCTGGAGAGAGCCAGTCTGTCTCTAGCTCTCTTATATTACATTCAAGCTATCCACCCCAGGCTGGGAGTAGCACTCATCCATAATCCCAGCAGTACTCAGACCCATAATCCCAGCCTTGGATCACCCATAATCCTAGTGGATCATGAGTTAATCACAAACTCTAGAAATCCACCCCATGTCTGCAAGAGGCTTTGGGGGGACACCTAGAGACAAACCATAACAGAGTTCAAGAGGACAAAAGAAGCAAATGTAGATGCAGAAAACTGCAGGGAAGCATCGAGGAAAACCAGAAGAAAAGACCGTCTGAACCCAAAGAACTTCTTAAGAAACAAGGACTTCAAATCCCACTATATATATA